TGGGCGCCGAGGATGTCCGCAGATCGTGCACTGCGACAACGCGACGAACTTCGTCGGAGCGAGTCGCCACTTCGCAGACCTTCGTCGGAGAATCGAGGACGAGGTCGACGCGGTCACTCAATACGCATCAAAAAGCGGATGCGTTTGTGTATTTGTTCATACCGCCGCGGGCTCCGCACATGGACGGACTATGGGAGGCAGGTGTGAAGACTGCAAAACACCTACTCCTACGAGCGGTAGGGAACGCCAGACTGACCGCGGAGGAGCTGCAGATCGTCCTCGTTGGAGTCAAGGCCGTCCTGAACTCACGACCCCTGGGGGGCTCTGAGTCAGGACCCAAGCGACGGCGAGGCGCTTACTCCCGGGCACCTGTTGACAGGTGGGCCGCTCATCGCCCCACCAGCACCGCGGACCCCGGACCAGCAGGGTCTAACGTGCTTGCGGCGATGGCGGCTTGTCTCGTCAATCAAGCAAATGTTTTGGCAGCGATGGTCCCGGGAGTACGTCTTGGGCCTACAGGCGCGGTCGAAGTGGCAGCACCAGGGGACGACATCCGGACGGGAGAGCTGGTCCTGATCGCAGAGGATCACCAGCCGCCACAACAGTGGCTCACGGGACGAGTAGGAGCAACACACGCCGGCGCGGACGGAAGGGTCAGGGTCGCCGTCGTCCGAACTAGCTCTGGAGCGGAATATAGGAGAGCGGTCCACAAGCTGGCGCGGCTGCCAGTTAGTTGAAGCCTGATGGAGGCCTTCAACGGGGCCGGTGTAAATTGATCTGTATTTTATGGAAGTCGAAAAATTGTGAATTATAGTTATAGCTGAATTGTTTTTGTTAGTTGTTAGTCTGTAAATTTACTCTTAGATAGCTTAGGGCGGAGCGGGAGCGAAAGCTCATATTCGCTCTTGTGCGAATTCGCCCCGCTTCGCCGCAATAGATAAGTTAGGCTTAAGATTAGAGAAAAATGTAATCGAATTTATAACGTTGAAGAGGCAAGACCATTTCTTTCGTTTTCGTTTTCGCCCATTTCTTTAAATATTAAGCAGCCACCTTTCTTTTTTTATTATGTGCAAATTAAATTAATCCCGAAGTTCACTTTTATTTTATTTTTTATTTTTAAAAAACTTTATTTATTATTTCTTATTTGGTTCATAAACTTTATTTAAACGCTTAGGCTAGACGGATTGTATGTGAAAGGCTTGCTCCCGGAATAAGACTGCCAATTTTTAATTGCCAGATAACCAACAAACCTCGGCTTAAGAGAAATAACCCAAAAGGGTACTTGGAGAGAATAAAAAATTGGCCTAAGAGATTATAAGAGAAAGGGACAATTTGCTGATGCAGCAGTTGAGTCATTCGTGAAGAGTGATTCGGACTGGTGACGGCGAGTCGGCTCTAATGTTTATGTCTGGCTTGGGCCATGGAAAATTTTGTGGGAATGTTTACAAGTGGAGCTTGATGTTTAGTCTGGATAATCTTTTGGGGATCATCAGAAACGAGTGGGGGAAATGAGGAGACAAGATAAGAAATGGCATGACGAAAATTTTGTGGGAATGTTTACATGTGGAGATTGATGTTTAGTCTGGATAATCTTTTGGGGATCATCACAAACGAGTGAGGGGAAATAAGGAGACAAGATAAGAAATGGCATGACGCATTCAGCAGGGGCTACTGCGTTTTGCAAATAATGTTTACATTGCCTTTTTGGTGAGGAAATTTATGAGTTGGTAGACACACCCCCTTCTAAATTGAAGCGTCCCGATTCAAACGATGGTGCAGCCATGGAGTTTATTTGAGCTGTTAATTCTGCTACGAATAAACAGAATAATTTCTGTAAATTCTATTATTTCTTCATGCGGGATTTCTTGATCGGACAAATTACCATATTTGTTTTTAAAATATTGCTAAGCCGTGGTTTAATGGTTTTACAATATTTTCTTAAATTATAAATACATAACCAAATTATATATGTTGAAATTAATGTGATTACAACTAATGTTAGTGGTATTCTGGTTTGTTTAATTTGAATAAAAGGATATAGGGTATTTATGTTATCAAATGATAGTTCCAAATTGTTGGATAATATATTTTGGGATATTTCAAAATTATTATAATTGTGGGCTGAAATGTATTCTAATATTTTATTATCTACGTTTGAATATGATATATTATTAATTATTGTGGTGCCATTGAATGTTATTAAATAAGACCCTATTAGGCAAGAGTCATTTACAATATTATTTCCATTTACTAAAATAGCACCTTCCTGAATTATATCTACTTGTTTATTTTTTTCTCTTATTTTATTACATATTGATTTTTCACCGTTCAATAAGCGAGTGAAACATGATTTTTCTGTGCTAAGAACACAATAATTATTATCATAATAAATGTTGTCGCATTTTGCTACCTGATTACATAACAGTAATTTTCCATCATTATGAGAAATAGCTCTTGCGTAATAAGTATCGCATCTATTTTTATACCCTTGCAGAGGGTATTATAATTTTGTCCAAAAGTGTGCAACGCAGTGAAGGAGACATCTCCGACCCAATGAAGTATATATATTCTTGATCAAGATCACCTCCTGAGTTGATATGAGCATGTCCGTCTGTCTGTCTGTTTCTACGCGAACTAGTCTCTCAGTTTTAAAGCTATCCACTTGAAACTTTGCCCTTCTTTCCTTTGCCCGCAGTATATAAGTCGGAACGACCGGGATCGGACGACTATACATGGAAATGGTATAACTTTGGTATTTTTAGAGTAAGAGAGTTCCAATTTGACATTTTTTTTTTTTGTAATAGCAGGGTAACGTTTATTTAAAACTGTCCATTAGGGACAACCATTATAATATAGATATAGATAATTAAAGATAATTTTAGATAAGATAATATAGATAATTTTAAATATTAAAATGGTAGAAATAAATTAGGGTAGTAAGGGGAGGTCCAGCGGGTGTGTCCTTTTTAGTCTTCTGGGCTGCTCGCTGTTGTCGAGCAGGGAGCTGGCCAACCGGTTCGGGTGATTATGAAGCCTCTGCATGTAACGTGCGCTGCTCCTTTGTATCTCGTCCTTGACCCAAGGGAAATTGAGAACCTCGTGGATGGTGCGATTGTCATGATAGACGTGGGCCCCAACGGCGATTCGAAGGGCTCTATTTTCGAAAGCTTGTATAGTTCGAACATTCGTCTTGCTCGCACTGCTGCAGAGCTGTATGCCGTACGTCCAGATTGTGCGTATTATTGCCTTGTAAATGAGGAGTTTAGTGGAAGTTCTCAGCTTCGATCTCCTACCCATAAGCCAGTAGAAGGATCGAAGTCTTTGATTAGCCTGTTTCCTCTTCTTAATCAGATGGGGCTTCCAGGTGAGCCTCCTGTCTAGGGTGAATCCCAGGTACTTGGGATTGTCTACCTGTGGGATTGGAGAGCCATTAAGGTTAACTGGAGGGCAGTTGCCTTTGCAGAGAGAAAATGTAGAGGCAGTGGACTTCTCGTTATTGACGGCAATGTTCCATCGCTTTTGCCAGTCGCTGAGCAAGTCAAGCTGCAATTGCATCGTTTCGGCTGCCCCCAATGCGCTATCGGCGGTGGTAAGGAAGGCGGTGTCGTCTGCATAGGTTGCTGCGAGCAGGTCAGGCCTCTGATGAACAGGGAGGTCGGCCGTGTAAGCATTGTACATCAAAGGGCCAAGAACGCTGCCTTGGGGTACACCAGCGTGAGCTTCTCTAATACCGGAGATGGCCTCGCCATATCTTTTTTTTTTTTTTTTTTGTTTTCAACGTTGCTTTTATTTCTTGAATCTTCTCTTGGCGAGACTAGCAAGAGGTGTATCAAATCTTATATTTTTAACTTAACTAACAGTCATATTGACTGATACGGGGTAAGACGGCCCTAAAAATCGATGGCTGGGTTGGGAGGTCGTTGCGTCTAAGGCGGGATACGCTAGAAACCCGAGTCAATCCCCGAGCGAGAAAATTTGGGTGCGAAGACAGTTTTTCTTCGTATGACTCTTTTTGCTTCTGGATTTCGTCTTTCACTGCGAGGATGCCCTGATCCCGGTGGATGTTTTCGTTGCGAACATACCAAGGTGCCCCTGTGATAGTTCTCAAGATTTTTGATTGTGCGCGTTCTATGATGTCTATGTTGCTGCTGCTCGCGTACCCCACAGCTGGGAGCCATACGTCCAGATTGTCTTTAGGACTGAATTGTACAGTAGTAACTTGTAGTCCAGGCACAGTGGCGATCGTGAGTTTATGATCCAGTGGAGGCTGCTGGCTTTCAGTTTTAGGTGCATCTTTTTGCATTCGATGTGCTTGCGCCAGGTAAGTCGTCTATCAAGGTGAACGCCAAGGTACGTTACGTCGTTAGCTTGAGGGATCTGCATACCGTTTAGTAAAAGCGGAAGGCATGTTTGTCTATTAAGAGTGAACGTTATATGTTTACACTTTTGTCCGTTTATTTTAATGCGCCAGTCGGACAGCCACCTTTCCACTATTGTGAGATGATTAGCCAGTTGGGTTGTTGCCTGCGTTGGGCATCTGGAGCGACGTGTCGATGGTGTAGTCGCCCGAAGTAGCTGCGTTGCATTTCACTGAGAATACCCTATTGTAGAGGTATGATTCCAGTAGCTTGTGGGTGTATGTTGGTAAATACGTCTTAATTTTGTGCATGAGTCCGATGAGCCAAACTCGGTCGAAAGCTTGAGATACGTCGAGGAAAATAGCGCTGCAGTATTCTCGCTGTTCGAAGGCTGAGCGTATTTCGGATGGTTGTTCGATGGTTCCATGGTTTCTTCGAAAGCCAAATTGGTGTGCCGGGATAATATTGCAAGCTTCCAGATGTGGTATTATGCGAGTTAACAAGCATTTTTCAAACAATTTAGACAAACAAGATAGAAGGCTTATTGGTCTGTATGATGACGGAATTGTGTGGTCTTTTACTGGCTTCGGTATCATTATAATGATGGATTTCTTCCACTTTTTTGGGAAATAGCCAAGATTAATGATTCTGTGGGAGCCGGCAATGAGCGGCGATGTCATGCAGGAGAGCGGCGAGAATGGCAAGGAGAGCGCGAGCGGAGTGACAGAGCAGGGGGAGAGTTAGTTGTAATTGACCGAGCGTGCGGAGCAGACGCGACACGATTATTACTTAAATAAATCAATTGTTCTATAATCTAAATTGGAAATAACCTGTCCTTATTGAGGGGGAACTTACGGGTTACTACATTGGCGACGAGGTAAAACTGTTTTTCAAAAATATATACAAGAAATAGCAATAATTAATCTCATTTAAACGTACATGCATGTATGTATGTATGTATGTAAAACGAAAAACTGCGTATGGCAGTGCCATCCAAAAAAAAAAGGGGAACGGAAAGAAGAACCATAATGTATAACATAAATGAGATTAGTAATTGTTATACTTGTAAATTTCAGCGCAAAACCAAATTACGAAACATAAGTAAAAAGAAAAAAAAAAAAAACAATAAAGAGAGGCTGAGTTTTAAACAAGCCAGATAACTTAAGAGAAATTTACTCTGAAAAAAAGGGCTGAGTGAAAGATTTACATTTTTGCAAGCCGCATGTGTATGCATGTGTAACTATGTATGTACGCAGGTGAAAACGTGCATAGGAAAGGCTGTGCGGAAGAGTTTTGTTTTCCGTAAGCTGTATAATAAATCGACTGCGTGTAAATACAAGTCGAAAGAGGCTGCGTGTAAACAAGCCCAAAAGAACAATTTTTAGTAAAGGCTGTGCGGAAGAGTTTGGTCTTGCGTAAGCTAGATAAGTATAAAAAAAAGAGAGGCTGCGTAAAAACAAGCCCAGAATTTCAAGTCTAAAATGCAATTTTGTTTCGTTGTCTAAAATCTAGCAAACACAAACGCACGACCTCAGAATGGCGGAAAATTATTTAAAACCATTCCTATGTGAAGCGATTGAGAAATCGGTCCTTCGAAATGAATGGGAGAAATGGTTTAGAGCGTTCACTATCTCGATGGAGGCTGAACAGATCGTGGCACCCAAAATGAAGAGAACTAAACTCCTTCACGTAGGTGGGGTACAATTGCAAGCTGTCGCGTTCTCGTTACCGGGTGCACTGGTAGAGGATGACAAGGACGGGGAGATCGACGTCTTCACTGTTTTGGTCGAGAAATTAAATGCCTACTTTTCGCCGAAACAAAATTCAACGTTTGAAAGGCATCTATTTCGAAGTATATCACCACATGAGTCAGAGAATTTCTCAAAGTTTATTTTACGACTAAGACAACAAATGTATAAATGTTCTTTCGGCCAATCTAAAGTGGAGATTGAGGAAATCTGCCTAAAAGACAAAATAATTGATTCGTGGGCGCCGCTGGAGCTAAAGAAGAAACTCTTGGGTAAGGAATACTCCTTGGACGAAGTTATTGAAGCGTGCCAGGTCGAGGAACAAATAAGCAAACAATCTGAAGCCATGCTGACGAAACCCATCACTAGCGATTCAATCAATAAAATTACTGCTCGGAAAATAAGGCCAAATCTGGAGTGTTCGAGATGTGGTCGAATGGGGCATGCAAATAGCGATTTCTCCTGTCCGGCCCGAGCAGCTAAATGTAACAAATGTTCCAAGATAGGTCATTTTGCACGACAATGCAGAACAACACAATATGCTCAGCCGAAACACGAAAATAGGAAGCGCCGCCGAAATGATATTCGTTGTGTGGAAGACGAGAGCGCTGATCCCAAACGGAAGAAGGAATGTGCGAATTGTTTTAAGATCTACAGCGACGAAGAAGAAGAACTCATAAACTGCCAAATAGGGGGTCACAACATTGCTCTCATTATTGACTCTGGATCGAAATTTAACCTTATTAGTCAATCGGATTGGGCAAGGATTAACAAGGAACCTACAGCAATCTTCAACATTAGATCACATTCTCAGAAACAATTTCGAGGATATGCTTCTGAACAATTACTTGAAGTAATTTACGTTTTTGAAGCGCCGATATCAGCTGTGCCGAATGTCGAGGTGATTGCAACATTTTTCGTAATTAAAAATGGACGGCAGTCGCTACTGGGCCGAGAGACCGCCATTAAGCTGAACGTTCTTCGGCTAGGTCTAGATGTCAATCGAGTGGAAATGACCACGCCATTCCCTAAATGGAAAGGGGTTAAAATAAAGCTATGGATTGACCCCAAAGTCATTCCAATTCAGCAGCCAGTTCGAAGAATCCCGGTGGCACTCGAGGAAAAAGTTGCCGCTAAGCTGAAAGAGAGTTTAAGTCGGGACATCATCGAATCAGTTACAGGTCCGAGCTCGTGGATATCCCCCATTGTCCTGGCTTTTAAGGAAAACGGCGATATTCGGCTGTGCATTGACATGCGTCGTGCGAATAAGGCCATTCGACGAGAAAATTATCCACTACCGACCTTTGAGTCTTTTATGCCCAAGCTAAAGGACGCAAAATACTTTTCCCGCTTAGACCTAAAAGACGCTTATCACCAGCTGGAACTGGACGAAGCCAGCAGAGAAATTACGACGTTCATAACACCAAAAGGACTCTTTCGGTACAAGCGGCTGATGTTCGGGATTAACTCTGCTCCAGAAATTTTCCAACGTCACCTCGAGCAGCTATTAGCACCCTTTACTAATGTCATGAATTATATTGACGATGTAATAATCTTTGGAGCTAGCGAAGAAGAACATGACAAGACTGTAAGAGAGGTTTGTAACACATTTAAAGAAAACGGCGTTTTACTAAACGATCAGAAGTGCATCTGGAAAACAAACAAACTCAAGTTCCTTGGTCATATTATTTCTGACGAGGGAATCGAAGTGGACCCGGATAAAATTAATGTGATTAGAATGTTTCGAGAACCACTTAACAAGGAAGAGACTCGGAGTTTCCTAGGTTTGGTGACATACGTGGGAAAATTTATCCCAGACCTGGCAGATTACACGGATCCGCTGAGAAAATTACTGAGGAAGGACTCGAAATTCAGCTGGGGCGAAACAGAAAGAGATGCTTTTCGGAACTTAAAGGATCGACTGGAAAAAGTACCAAACCTTGCATACTTCAACCCGCTAAATCGAACTCGCCTAATAGCAGATGCCAGTCCTGTAGCACTGGGAGCGGTGCTGTTGCAGTTCTCTGTAAATGCGGACCCCTTAATTATTTCATTCGCTAGTAAAGCTTTGTCGGACGTTGAGAGACGTTATTCTCAAACGGAGAAAGAAAGTCTAGCTCTAGTCTGGGCTGTTGAGAAATTTTACTTTTACTTAGCAGGACTTCATTTCGAGCTAGTGACAGATCACAAACCGTTGGAGGCCATTTTTAAACCGACATCGAGGCCTCCTGCGCGCATAGAAAGATGGTTGCTACGGCTACAGTCCTTTGATTTTAAAGTAGTCTACAAAGCGGGGAAAGAGAACATCTCCGACGCTCTATCCCGACTTTGTCCGTTATCAGCATCCGACTCTGGTGAAAAAGAAATGGATTGTAGCATATTACAAGTGATCGAGAACAGCATTCCCCAATCAATGACTATCTCGGAAATTGCAAAGCATTCGGTAAAGGACGAAGAAATTATCGATGCAAAGGCCTGTCTGGAGTGCGACTCATGGAAACCAGGATCCCTAAAACTGCTGTACCCATTTCGATTTGAGTTATCAGCAATAGGACCCCTTCTTTTGCGAGGTAACCGAATTGTTATTCCTCAATCACTTCGGAACCAAGTGCTTGAGCTGGCTCACGAAGGAGACCCGGGAGAGTCAGCTATGAAAAGGCGTCTGCGATCCAAGGTATGGTGGCCTCTAATTGATCGTGATGCAGAGAACTATGTCAAACGCTGCAGAGATTGTCTTCTGGTCTCCCAATGCCCTAGGCCAGCACCAATGGATAGGAACCCATTTCCAACAGGTCCATGGATTTGGGTAGCATCAGACATATTGGGGCCCCTACCAAACATCGAGTTTGTTATAGTGTTTATTGACTACTATTCCCGCTATATGGAGTTCAAATTTTTACGTTCAATTTCCACAAAAAGCTTAATTGAAGTAATGAAGGAAATATTCTGTAGATTAGGCTACCCAAAATACTTAAAAACTGACAATGGACGGCAGTATATAAGTCAAGAATTCGAGGAATACTGCAAAACTTGCGGTATAGAACAGGTGAAGACTCCACCCTATTGGCCCCAGGCTAATGGGGAAGTGGAAAACATGAATCGGTCTTTGGTCAAACGGTTAAAGATAGCACACTCTAATTCAAAAAATTACAGGGAAGAAATCCAGAAATTTGTACTCATGCACAACGTTACTCCACATGGCACAACAGGAGTAGCCCCCACCCAACTGATGTTTAATAGGGTTATCCGCGACAAGGTTCCATGTATAGGTGATATTGATGAAGAGGTTTCAGACTCGGCCGAAAGGGACAGGGATTGTATGTTAAAAGAAAAAGGAAAGGAAGAGGCAGATAAGAAGAGGGGAGCACGGGAAGCCGTGATAAACGTAGGGGATAAAGTACTCTTGAAAAATGTAGTGTTTCCTAGTAAGTTGACTCCGAATTTTAAGGATACGGAATTCGAGGTTGTTGAAAAAGACAGAAACATAGTTAAAATTAGGGCAGGGGGTAGGACTCTCACGAGGAATGTATCGCACCTCAAGAAAATACCAATCAACGCAAGTCACCTGGATACATCTGGACCCTCATCGTTAAGCAGCCCTCAACCGAAGATGACATCTACTCAGGATCACCAAGACGTCGAAGCAGGAATAGGTCATCGGCTTAGACAGTCCCCAGAAGATTTGGCTCCTTTGGCTGCCCCATCCTTGAAGCTAAAACTTGTCAATAAAGGAGGGATGTGGGAGCCGGCAATGAGCGGCGATGTCATGCAGGAGAGCGGCGAGAATGGCAAGGAGAGCGCGAGCGGAGTGACAGAGCAGGGGGAGAGTTAGTTGTAATTGACCGAGCGTGCGGAGCAGACGCGACACGATTATTACTTAAATAAATCAATTGTTCTATAATCTAAATTGGAAATAACCTGTCCTTATTGAGGGGGAACTTACGGGTTACTACAGATTCCATTAAATAGTATGCAGACGACCTCTATAGCGCATTTTGGAAGTTTGATCAGCATCTTTGGGGTCAATAGGTCACCAATAGGGGGGTCAATAGGGAGCCTTTTTTGGTTTTAGCCCTCTTATGACTTTTTTGATTTTGTTCGGCCGGAATGAAGGTGCGGCTGGCTGAGGGGAGGACTCTGGCTGAATTTCTGGCAGGAGGAATGAATTTGAGGCTGGGTTTGGCTGGAAGACACTTTGGAGATGTGTGGCGAATGTTTCAGCTCGGTCTTCGTCGCTGCGAGCCCAGCATCCCGAAGAGTTTCTTATTGGGGTGGTCGTTTCAATTGGGGCGCTAAGATTTGGATGGGCCCTCCACAGGGGGTACTTTGTGCTTGTTGGCGAGAGATTCTGGATGTACCTTAGCTGTGCGTTTTCTTCCTGTTGGTGAAGAGCCTGGTTGAGTGATCGGGTTGCTTCCTTAAGGCGTTGTTTTGAAGCTGGTGATCTGCTGTTTTGCCAATCACGACGCGTGCGCCTCTTTTCTCGCACGAGCTGTTCGATTTGCTGATTAGATTTGAAGTGTTTGTTTCGGTCTACATCTTTTCTATGAGGAGTAGAGATTTTAGCTGCCGCAACGAGTACTTCTTCCAGGGCGCTCGTAGTGTAGTCGATGTCCGATTCCATGTTAAATTCCGGGGCGAGTTCTATGTGGGCACTCACGTACTTTTTGTATTTTAGCAAGTTCGTTTTTGGCGTCGTCAGGCTGAAGGGGTATTCGGTTATTTCTGGGCTTTGAAGAAGCGTTAGAAGCACAGGCGAGTGGTCTGATGATAAGTCCGAGACTGCTTTGGCACTTATTAGATTGCGAGGTATGTTTTTTGTCACTGCAAAATCAATAAGGTCTGGTAGCTTTCGTGAGTCTGTTGGCCAGTTTGCGGGACTTCCAGGGGAAACGTAGTCCAGTTTATTTTTCACATTTATAATTGCATTGTACAATTGTCTTCCTTTGGGAGTCACTAGACGTGATCCCCAGTGCGTATGTTTGGCGTTGTAGTCTCCTGCGGCTATAAATCGGTCCCCAAGTGAATTGTAGAAGTCCATAAATTGTCCTTCCGAGATTGAGAAACGAGGAGGGCAGTAAACGGCAGCGATTGAAAGGATTCCGTTGCTTGACTGAATTTGTATGGATGTGGCCTGCAAGAAGTTTGTTGCAAACCTTTTGTGAAAGTGGTGTTTAATGCGTTCTCTGATTAGAACTCCAGTTCCGCCGTGGGCTTTCCCATCTGGATGATCTGTGCGGTAGATTGTGTAGCCTCTTATAAGAAAGTTGTATTTGCTTGTAAGATGCGTTTCCACCAGTAGCATAACGTCAATATGGTTTTCGGTTAAGAATTGTGATAATTCTAGTTTATGCCATGAGACACCATTGGCGTTCCACATTGATATTCGTAAAGCCTGCATAGATTATTTAGACTGTTGTGCTACGAGCAGCTGTATCACCATGTTCTGGTTTTGAACAAGCGTTTGCATGGTTGTTTTCATGAATGACATAAGCTCCATCATACTTTGTTGGAGGGTAAGCATCATAGTTTCCATATTGCTGTGTGGCTGTTCTGGGGCCTGTTGAGCGCTTTGAGAGTTAGGCTTAATTGGAATTTCCCTTCCAGATCGTAGAGCATCGGCATAGGAGAAGCCGTTGGTGGTGTTTAGTGGACCAAATGAGGATCTCGCAGCTTTGGCGAAGAAGACGTCTGGCGTAGTTTTTGACGCAATGTTCGCATTCTGTGGATTTTGGTTGCGCGTTGCGGTCGCTTGACGCATGCGACTCTTTAACTCCTTATACACCATACATCCTCTATAGTTTGCTGTATGGCTGCCTCCGCAGTTTCCACATTTCTTCACGGTTCTGTCCTTGTTTGTAGTGCAGCAAGCGGACTTGTGGGCGTCCCCGAAGACTACACAAACAGCCCGAAGTGTGCAGTAAGACCTTGTGTGTCCATACTCTTGACAGTTAGTGCATTGCACTGGACCGTTGCGTTTATGTGGCTCTTCAATAGTGATTTTCCGATGCAAAAGATATTGCAGGTTGTAAATTGGGTGGACTTCGTTCTTCTTCAGCGACCTGCTATCTGGCTCGAGCTCGACCTTTAAGAGGGGTTGTGGCTTTTTATCTTTGTTTAGAATGTTAATAACATTCTTGGCGGCGAAGCCCTTTTCTTTAAGGGCGGTTTTTATTTTCGCCGCGGTAACATCAGGTTCTATTCCCTTTACTACCACTTGTAGGCCCTTACTGCTTTTCAGCTGGTACGTGTAATAGTTTTTCTGTACAGTGTCCAGATATTTCGACACGATTCGGAAGTGCTCTTCAGTCTTTGTTTGCACCTTTGTTTCATGGATGTTCCCTTTGATAAGCGGAACAACATGAAGTTGTCACCGTTCCCGATCAACGACGCAATTTTGTTGACCAGGGCACTCGAGCTTTTTCCCATAATATAGATTGGAGGGGGCTTGGGTTTTTTTGCGGTGTCTTGGGCTGGTTGGTTTTCCTCAGGCTCCGCCAGTAGGGCAAATCTGTTAGTAGTGGATCTGTCCGGTTCTTTATCGATATTCAGGACACGGTTAATTTTTGTTTTGTTGCCTGCCGGATTACTCTGCGGGCTAAGCTTGCGCTTAATTTGGATGTAGCGAAATAGAAAAGATCCGAAAAAATTTAAGTGTTAGCCCTAGCCTACAAAAGCTAAATCCCTTTCTACACGAATCTTCAGAGGCTGGGCTTACCTTTTCGTTGTTGCGGGTTGGGGGGCGACTAGCTAATGCTCCTATATCGTACGATGCCAAGTTTCCAGTATTGTTGACAAAACGCTCTCAATTTGTTCAGAGCTACGTCCGATACTTGCACGAGTCGAATTTTCATGTGGGTCCTCGAGCACTTGTGAGTCTTTTGCGACAGCGCATATGGATCGTAAATGCGCAGGAAGTCTGCAGTCAGACAGTACGGTCATGCATACGCTGCTTTAAATGCAAGCCTCGTCTGATGACTCAAATCATGGGTGATTTACCCTTAGATAGAATTCGTGCTCTCCGCCCATTCTCCATATGTGGTGTTGATTTTTGTGGCCCTATTGATACGACATTGAAAATTCGTGGTAGGCCACCCTATAAGTCCTACATTGCCTTATTTGTTTGTTTTGCGTCCAAGGCAGTTCATTTAGAAGTAGTTTCCGACCTTTCAACTGATTCCTTTTTATTGGCTTTTCAAAGGTTCGTTGGGCGCCGAGGATGTCCGCAGATCGTGCACTGCGACAACGCGACGAACTTCGTCGGAGCGAGTCGCCACTTCGCAGACCTTCGTCGGAGAATCGAGGACGAGGTCGACGCGGTCACTCAATACGCATCAAAAAGCGGATGCGTTTGTGTATTTGTTCATACCGCCGCGGGCTCCGCACATGGACGGACTATGGGAGGCAGGTGTGAAGACTGCAAAACACCTACTCCTACGAGCGGTAGGGAACGCCAGACTGACCGCGGAGGAGCTGCAGATCGTCCTCGTTGGAGTCAAGGCCGTCCTGAACTCACGACCCCTGGGGGCTCTGAGTCAGGACCCAAGCGACGGCGAGGCGCTTACTCCCGGGCACCTGTTGACAGGTGGGCCGCTCATCGCCCCACCAGCACCGCGGACCCCGGACCAGCAGGGTCTAACGTGCTTGCGGCGATGGCGGCTTGTCTCGTCAATCAAGCAAATGTTTTGGCAGCGATGGTCCCGGGAGTACGTCTTGGGCCTACAGGCGCGGTCGAAGTGGCAGCACCAGGGGACGACATCCGGACGGGAGAGCTGGTCCTGATCGCAGAGGATCACCAGCCGCCACAACAGTGGCTCACGGGACGAGTAGGAGCAACACACGCCGGCGCGGACGGAAGGGTCAGGGTCGCCGTCGTCCGAACTAGCTCTGGAGCGGAATATAGGAGAGCGGTCCACAAGCTGGCGCGGCTGCCAGTTAGTTGAAGCCTGATGGAGGCCTTCAACGGGGCCGGTGTAAATTGATCTGTATTTTATGGAAGTCGAAAAATTGTGAATTATAGTTATAGCTGAATTGTATTTGTTAGTTGTTAGTCTGTAAATTTACTCTTAGATAGCTTAGGGCGGAGCGGGAGCGAAAGCTCATATTCGCTCTTGTGCGAATTCGCCCCGCTTCGCCGCAATAGATAAGTTAGGCTTAAGATTAGAGAAAAATGTAATCGAATTTATAACGTTGAAGAGGCAAGACCATTTCTTTCGTTTTCGTTTTCGCCCATTTCTTTAAATATTAAGCAGCCACCTTTCTTTTTTTATTATGTGCAAATTAAATTAATCCCGAAGTTCACTTTTATTTTATTTTTTATTTTTAAAAAACTTTATTTATTATTTCTTATTTGGTTCACAAACTTTATTTAAACGCTTAGGCTAGACGGATTGTATGTGAAAGGCTTGCTCCCGGAATAAGACTGCCAATTTTTAATTGCCAGATAACCAACAAACCTCGGCTTAAGAGAAATAACCCAAAAGGGTACTTGGAGAGAATAAAAAATTGGCCTAAGAGATTATAAGAGAAAGGGACAATTTGCTGATGCAGCAGTTGAGTCATTCGTGAAGAGTGATTCGGACTGGTGACGGCGAGTCGGCTCTAATGTTTATGTCTGGCTTGGGCCATGGAAAATTTTGTGGGAATGTTTACAAGTGGAGCTTGATGTTTAGTCTGGATAATCTTTTGGGGATCATCAGAAACGAGTGGGGGGAAATGAGGAGACAAGATAAGAAATGGCATGACGAAAATTTTGTGGGAATGTTTACATGTGGAGATTGATGTTTAGTCTGGATAATCTTTTGGGGATCATCACAAACGAGTGAGGGGAAA